GTAAAGCAAAATTCCAAAATTTGCATCACAATTTGAAACATTTTAATTAGATTTTCTAAAACTGTTTTGAGTATGCAGTTTTGGGGCCATTAAATTATTGTATAATAAAGGGCAAGTTGGAGGAAACTTGGATTTACCGTTGATTTTTGGAATTTTTTTTCTTCGCGCATTTTCTTCTTTGCACATTGGGCCATATGCATAAAACCCAAGCAATTTTTTTTTCTTAAAATTTCAGACCTTTTACTCGATTTGTTCAAATAAATTTAAGTGATAGGTAGGACATTTTAAGTAAATGCAATTGCTTAGGGGAACAGCCAAAGAAAGCTAACATGTCTCTTCCTCTCGACTTTTAAAAAATATTCCGCGGGACAATTTTCTCAAAATCGGTACTGTCCCGCCAAAATCGGTACGAATGGTCACCGTAACCATACGTTTTAAACGTTTTTTTTCACGTTTTGTTTTTTTTTGACTACACAACATACGTAACCTGATTTTTGTTAACATATCAGCGAAAATTATGTGTCCGAATAAAAACTGGCGAGTCATGCGAAAATTCGAACTAATTGAGAATTGCCCATATAATCACTTTTCATGAACAGTATATAATTATTGTAATTTATCTACATTACATGGGCTCACATTTCTTTGAACAGATTATGTAAATATTTTCTACAACATTATTGAAAATATGTATTTATTGTAAAATATGGTGGGATAAAGTTTTTCGTAATGCAGAATGATATTAAAGTAATTTTTTGCACAGTGTAGGTGGTTAGGAAAAGATAAGTAGAATCTCAAATCAAAGAGAAGATGATGAGTGCTAAAACGCTTCGAAGCAGCAGTTGCGCAAAACTGGATACAGCGTAGATATTATACATACAGTAGCTCAAACAAATGACCACCTGTTGATTTTTTTTTAATATCCGAAATGTTTTTCGAGCTAAATTTTTTGTGTTAATTTTCTATAACAAAAGGCCAAGCTTTACCATAAAAAAATATAGATCACAGTTTCAAACTTTATACAAAACTTAGGAAAATTCAACAAATTTACATCAGAAATTAAACTTTTTAATCTGAATCTTCAGAACATTTTCGGGTATACAGTTTTATACCCCATACAATGTTAGTGTAACTTGCACTTGTTATATAAAAAAAAAACGAAAAAGTAGTATAACAAAAAGTTCAAAAATCAACGGGATTTTTTAAACGTTTGAAACTCGCATTTGATGAGATTAAAATTGTATGGGCTATAAGTCTGCATACCCAAAAATTGTCTTAAAAATTAAATTAAAAGTTAAAAGTTTAAATTTTAATGAAAATTTGTTGAATTTTCCTAAATTTTTAATAAAGTTTGAAACTGTCGTTTATATGGTTTTGGTTAAAGCTTGAACGGAATTTTTTTATAGAAAAATAACAAAAAAATTTAGCTCGAAAAACATAACGAATATTTAAGAAAAATCAACAGGTGGTCATTTGTTTGAGTCACTGCATATGCACATATACATATGTATGTAGTACATTAGAGTGGTAAAGAAAAGGTTTAAAATATTAAGCTCTGATACCCTGGGATTTTTCTAAATGGAAAAGAATAATACCCGTATTTCTTTTTTTGTTAAAAAAAAAGCGTTTTTCCCCATATAAATTACAAGAAAAACATTTTTTTTTTAAAGAAAACATACAGGTATTTTTTCATTTAGAAAAATCCTTGGGTGTGAGAGCTTAGCACTTTAAACTCAGCCACCCACCCACACATATTTTAGGAACACCCTAAAATACATACATTAGACCGTGTCAGTTTGGGGGGGTGAAATAACACAAACGGCAATAACGCAAATTTGTGTTATTTCCCATTTGAATGTGAAATAACACAAATTTGCTTTATTTCATTTCTCGTTGAGCAATAAGACCAACTTTTATACTTAACAATTTGAGTAATAAAGCAAACTAGTGCACATATGTACGTAGTCACCCAGTTACATTTGACAAAAAGTAGTACATGAACAAGTTAAATGGACGGATTTGTAAGTATACAATTTTGAAAGTGCCCGGCGTCGCGGCGGTCCGCCCCTTCCCTCCTTTCGAAATTATGTACTGGTGGCATTATAACCGTTTAGAAAAAGGAAAAATTATAAAATAACACTAGTTCACTTCTGAAACTGCTTTTTAATGTCCAAGTAATGGGAATTATTGTGTATGGTGTTATTGCATGCTGCATCCCACCCATAGTGGAATTTACCAGGTGCCACTGCTTTATTTGAAAATTGCCTATAAAATGTGACTATAAGGCAGCCGAATGTCAGAAAATAAAGCGAGAAATCCGTTTTATTACTTCATGGCATGGTTCCATGCAAACATTTTAAGGTTTTCCAGCAATGTTTTTAACAACATATTAAAAAGCATGCAGAATAAATTCATACAAAAGCGCTATGTCCAATATGCGAAGCAGTTTTTAAAGACGATGCTTTTCCTATATTTTGTTAGACTTTTCATAAGTAAAAATATTTTGTGAATATTACTTTCTTCATATGAATTATATCACATTTTTTGTTTAATTCAAGGCCTATCAAACAGGTTTAGAGCATTTGAGCAAAAACATTTGCCTGTATTTTGTTGTTGCTTCTGGTATCGAAGGTGCCAAAAACTGTTCTGATTTTTTTCTTCTACATCAAAGCGTGCCATGCGAAATACGAAAAAGGTAAAAAATTTAAATTGAAAAAATGAAAATTGTTGCAGCTTTCTTTCTTAGTAAATTGGTTCGCTTCTCGAAGCATTGATCCACCATCCTGTGCCAGGTCCAGTAATCAGCGGTTGTGCTGCTGAGTTGGTCGAGCTTTCCAAAAGCTGCTATTTAATCGCTGGTTTTGTATGGAAAATGTTTCACATGCAAATAGATTTTAACAATTTAGAATTTTTTTGAGAAGAAATGTTAAATATTTGACATTTTCGAGAACAAATAATTTGAAATAAATCAAATCAGCTGCTATACTGATATTACCTGCATGATAAAAATATAGTAAGGTAGAACCGCCGAGAGTCACTTTTGAAATTCTTGACGTTTCCAAACAATTTAATTTTTAAATTTACTCACAAACTCACACACACATTTTCATTTTCAATTTCAAGCAACAACAATTTCGAACAATTTCAATTTTTTATTTTCACTTTTATATGATTTTAAAATGTTGGCAAACTTCAAAAAAAAATCATGGCCGACAATTTGAGAGAACGGTTCTACCTTGCTATGTTTTTATCATGATTACCTGTGCAATGTGCCTTGGTTTAACTGTATTTTTGGAATAAACAAAGTTCTTTTTGCTTCTGTCAGTAAACTGTGTTTTTTTTTACAAATAGTATAAATAAGCAATGGGAAATAAGGCAAAATTTGTTTTATTTCCAACCTTTGTTGGAAATAAAGCAAAACTCAGATTTTGGTATTATTTCCCATTTAAAAGTGAAATAAAGCAAATTTTGCGTTATTGCCGTTTGTGTTATTTCACCCCCCCGTCAGTTTACAAGGAAACCAAAAAAGTTTGAAGATATTTAAATGATTCAGAAATTTTTCCCAATTTTTAAAGCGCCACAAAGTTTTATTAAAAAAATATTTGTTCACTTCAAAAAAAAATTACTTAAAGTTTTTAAACTGCAAAAAATGTATGTCCAGTTTTTAAATGACCAAATTGTATGTCTTATTTTTATATGACCAAAAACAGGTTTTAAATGAAGCCAGTTTTGACAACTTCAAATCCTTATGTCTAGTTTTTTACCCGCCAAAAAACTATGCCTAGCTTTTAAGGGGCCCAAATTTATGTATGTTTTTTTTGGCAAAAAATTATGTTCAGTATTTGAACGATCTAAAAAGTTTGCTCAGTTTTTAAATAGCCAAAAATATGTGCCAAGTTTTTAAATGACCGAATTGTCTATCCAGTTTTATATGGTTCAATAAATTATGCTCAGTTTTTGAAGTACAAAAAATGTGTACAAAGTTTTTAACTCTAAACGATTTTTGTCCAGTTTTTAAATGATCAAAAGTGTATGCCAAGTTTTTTAACGACCGGAAAGCTTTGCCACGTTTTTATATGACTAAAAATTATGTTCAGTTTTAAAATTAAACCAGTTTTTGAAACGTCCAAACTTATTTTCTAGTTGAAACTTACCAAAAAACTATGTCTAGCTTTAAATGGTGCAAAAATGTATGAAAGTTTTTGTCAATATCGAAAAATTATGCTGAGTGTTTAAATGATAGAAAACACTATGCTCGGTTCTTAAATCAGCAAAAATTATATCCAGCTTTTACGTGATCCAATGTGATTTTAAACGCCTTTTTGGTTATGCAGAGTTTTTAAATGATCAAAAATGTATGTCCAGTTTTTGCACTATCATAAAATTATGCTTAATTCGTACATGACATGAAAAAATTATGCCCCATTTGAAGTGGACAAAAATGCATGTCAAATATTTAAATATCCAAAAATGTTGGCCGTTCTCTCAATGAATGATCGTGGAGCAATACAGAAATACAATCCTCTCTTCAATTTCGTTCTGTAGCTGATCGATCTGGGCATTTAAGAAACTGGTGCCTTTCATGATCTGCATAGCGAACAAAAATATCCGTCAAGCGGACTGCGCTCTTCGTGTAAGCTGGGTAGGAGATGGCAAATCGCTCGGAATAATTAATTATTCAAAATAAAAATGCCTTTAGGATTGGGTGTTAGTATCGAGATTTTGGAATAATCAGCCTCATTGCGAGAGTCGTGCCGAATGCAAATCGTTTTTCGAGAGTCGAATCGTATCGAAAATTTAGCGTCATTGCCTAAAATTTCCACTCGACTAGTGTATTAAAACGGAAGAACTTGGCAGCACTGCATAGTTTTCGACAATTTTCATCGTTTACTTATTTCAGCACGACAGTAGACAATGCTAATGTTGTCGAGTCGTGCAATTCAGCCTAATTTACGACTTACGCAATGGGCTGATTAAGAAATGATGGAATGTAAACATAAATTTTTTCTGATTTGTTTTGTTTTTGGTTTGTTTGGTAAATAGTAGCAAATTAGGCAATTTTTAACTAATCAAGAGTAGCTTTTGTGGTCCCACTTCTTTATTAAATTTCACATTATTTGACTTTTTCTTCTACAAAAACTGCTTTTCGAATAGTTTTATCTAAATCTATTGCCTACTTGCCCATATCTACTTGTAAATATATATATGTATGTATTACATATTACCAATCCGCATTGATGAGGGCTTACAGCTGCTAATTTTGAATTAAAGGTGGATTTCTGAACTTTATTGCTTTGCAATTATGGCGGCGTTTCGTTAGATTTTGATTGCTGTGGGCGATTTTATGTTGGCTAAGAGCGCCTGCAGCTGCAGCTCTCTTACGTTTACTGCGCCTCATATGCTCTCTCTAAAGAATTTGTGCAGATAACGCTAAAGTATTGTGCAACGACCTTTATTCCTAGTTGATTGTGTGAATTCGCTGACAATGGCACCGGTGCTCGTACAGCCCATTAGTTCTCGGAATACATCGCCAATTTTATAGTTATATCTGAAATGAGCGTGGTGGTAAGGAGAGTTAAATATTAAAAATAGAGTCCAAAATTAAAAAAAAAAAAACGCGAAAAAATTTCTGAAGTTTTCAGCACAAATATACTTCTATCCTTTCATGGCACATGGCTGTTAATAAAAAGATCAACACTGTACTCACTTGGCTGAACATTCCACATAGCCACAGCGCCAATGTTTGCGCACTAGCGTTGAAATATCCTTCAGCTCCTAAAAGTGAATGTCAATTTGTGATTGCAACAACGGCTTAGCTGTTAACTTTTTTTGCACTTTTACTGACCTGTGAAGTAGCCAGCACCTCGGTGACCGTATCGTATTTATTACCAATTACTATTATACTAAAATCACGATGACTAAAACTATCCAATATTTGCTCTCTCATCGCACGGCAGTACTGTGGAAATAATTGAAAATAAAGTTATGCACAATTTTTAATTAAATTTGCCTTAACATACATACATACATACATACATATGTATATCCCCAGTCACTAACTAACCTGAAACGTTTCCAAGTTGCCCATATCGAATACTAAAACATATGCATGTACGGTTCGCAACCCCAACGGATGTCCATTATTCCATTCGGCAAAGTTATCAGCCGGGAATCGTTTCTAAATATGTTCATATATATGAATGATGTGTGTATGTATGTATGTGTGTATCGCATTTTTGATATGTTTATTTTCCAATTTCCAGTTGCATTCGTCCATCCGTTCACCGCAGCATACCGCACGCCGCATGCAGGAGATGCAGGAGACAGACATTCGCATTTGCATCGGTCAGCAGCATTTTAACAAAGTGTTGAATCCATTTGTTTGTCGTTTGGTTTTTCCATGGTCATTTTGGTCGATTTCGATTATAGCGCCAGCATCAAAAATGAAAGAAAGAAACGGAAATGAAAGAAGTTAAAAAAAGTACGAGTAGAAAAGTCTGCTGCTAGCGTTTGAGCTATGAAATTTCATTTGAGCAAAAAATAAAAAATAAATATTCGTTATGGAAATTGCAAAGTTGAGTATATACATACATACATATGTATGTACTCATAAGTATATTACAGGGTACTGTGGAGATATAATGTTTTGAACAGGGACCGTCATAGTTATGAGTTTTATGCATACATACATACATACCTAATAAAAATCACAATTTCAGCGATAGAACTGGATTTCTCCTTTTAATCGTTGTTTTATGACTTTAATAGCAGATAAAAAAAATAATCAAAATAACGATTGTTTATCAATAGCAGCATTTTTGTAATACAATTTAGCGATTTCACGTTTCTATGCAAACATGAAAAATCGTTCAAAAATGTTACATACATATATGTATTTTATTCCTGTTCCCATTTTATTATAGTTGTATATTTTTTAAGCAACTTAAGGTATTTAGGCCGTTCAAAGTTATGGAATCATAAAATTTCGTCCACACGGTAAACTTTTGTTATTTGAATCAGTGATGGAAAAGTAGGTACAATTGTACTTTATTCAGCCCCGTTTCAATTTTAAATAATATTCGGTATAATTATATATAATACATATATAATTATATATATATATAACAACGTAAATTCATTTCAAATGAATATTTTCCTCCTTTGAATAGTTCTTCGGGTAATGCCAACCGATTGCAAGCAGATCCTTTTGACCTTATATAACTTTTTTCTTTATTCCTTGTCATCGTCCACATTGTGGTGCCCTATAAAGGACAAGAATTATTGGGCATTTTTAGGGACTGATTTTTTTCTTTGCAAGAGTCTAGGATTTCCAATTGCTAAACGGCAGATAAGAGTTATTCTTCGTTCGAACCCTGGCTAATATTAGTAGAAGTAATGTTTATACTGATGCCCATGAAAGTAAACAAAGTCACCTTTACATTCTCCGTTTGTGAGACAGTCATGGGTGAGGCAACGGAAGCTTTTCCAATAAATTCGACTTTCAAAATTTTATTAATTCATACCGTTGGTATACCAAAATACGCACATCTTCGCCATTTTTTTGATGTTTTGTCATCTGTTAGGCTGCACATATTCAAGCTTAATAATTGTATGATGAAATTTCCAAAAACGTAAATTTTGATTTACGTCTCTATATAAATAAACGTGCGATATGTATGCATATGGCAGGCCCCATGTCCTCTTTTCCAGTAAGTAATCATTTTCTACATCCGTATTGGATAGAATTTATACATCCCCATACCAAGTTACACTATTCTACCTCAAACACTTCTAGAGATATGCTGTAAGAAAATTTCAGTTTCTATGGGAATTGATTTCATACATCTCGATTCGAAGTCCCAGTACTCTGCTATAAATAAACACCTCCAGAGATATGCAGTATGAAAAGGTCAATTTGTACGAAAAGTGCCACGCCCCCTTTTTTAATAACCTTCATTTTTATTCATTAGTATTGTATTAGTAATTTAATATACTATCTCGATACTAAGTTCCAGTACTCTACCACAAAAATTTCAATAGATAGATATACAACAAGAAAATTTCAGTTAATATGGGCGGTGCCACGAGCTCTTTTCCAATAACGCCGGTTTTCTCCACTAGTATTGCATTGATTTCATATATGGGATCTCCCACGCCCCACAGTGCTGCCTAAGTGGGCAAAAATCGAAAAATTCGTTGTCTGCAATGTGAACTTGTTTGGTATTTTAGTGAAGAAAATTTATCCACTAAAAAGAATTTCCCTAAGACATTTCGCTAAAAAATTAATTATATACCGCCAGGAAGCCACTAAACTCGCCAAATTTTATACTAAGAATTTTAATAAGAGCATAGCCACGCGTAAAACATGTCAAAAATACATTCTTTGAAATAAAATGTTGTTTTGACGTTTCTTGTTTCCATATAGATAGTGGAGAATTACAATTTTGGAATAAAATTAAACACAGGGTGTCCCTGCGGTATTCCAGAAAAAACATTTTTTTTTAACAAAATTTAAATGGAATGAATAAAAAATATATGTAAAAATAGGTAATTTTTTATTATTTTATTAAATAGTACGGGATTTTAGCTTTCAAAAGAAGAAATAAAAATCCCCTCTTTTTTTGCACTTTCTGAAGTATGCGTTTTTCGCTAATGCATAAAATAATTTTTAATTTTTTGTCAATGCCTTGAGATCTGAACGATTCGTTCCATTTTCAAAAATTAAGTGTCAGATTAAGAAACTTGACCTGTGGGCAATAGAAGGTTTATTTTTTTTAAGGAGTTGCCATCTGTTAAAAAATAAGATTGTTAAAAAATTAGATTCAAAGTTCTTTTCTAAGTTATACTAATTATTAAGGGATGGGTATCAATCGAAATGTGTATTAACTATATGTCGAGAGTTGCCACCTGCTTAAAAAATCAAATTCCACTTGAATTAAAAGAATTAGGTAATTGAAATAGATAGGTATCACCATAAGGGAGTCATACGAAAGAGGTTTAAGAAGGCTTTAGTTTAAAAATATTACGAATAGCGTTGCCACCTGCTTGTAAAGTCGAATTTAGTTAAACTGAAATAATAATTACGTCAAACCATAGAATTACGCCATGGTATTTGTTATTTTATTACATATACATACGTTGTCAAACAGTAAATTGTTCTGATTACATTCCTTTTAAATTACTGTACTCTTAAATTAACTCAGGCATGTTTTTAATCTTCACTTATTTCTTGCCAAATAAGTCAAATTTTTTCATTCGTCTGATACTCATATTGGTATACATTTTTCAGTTACCTATTCCCTTAGTTAATGTGAATTTGAATTTTTTAACCATGTGGCAACCCTTCTACGTGTCGTTTAGGAGTAAAGTATTTTCAAAACTAGTTCAATTGATATCCATATTGTAATATGTAATTTATTTAACTTACTAAATAATTTTAATGAAATTTGTAACAGGGGGCAACCCTTTTTAAAAATAAAAAACTTTATTGCACAGATACAGGCCAAGCCCTGTCATTTGACACATCACTTTTGAAAATAGAACGAACTATATGTACCTACGTACATACGTAAAAGCCACAAGAACCCAAATTTTCAACTTCAAACTGCATTTACAGTGAAAGCATGAAAGTTATCAAAAAACAAATTAAATTTTGAGTTTAGCGTCCTCAGTTTTACTAAGAAACGAATTTTCATTTAAATCCGTACATAATTCCCACATTTTATATGAAAGGGAAGCACTGTGGCGCCCCCTCGTTTTATTGAAACTAGTTTTAGCCTATGACCATCCTTGGAAAGCCTACTGAAGGTGTCTCAAATTTGATGGAAATAAGTTGGAAGCAGCAATACTGTGCACTGGGGAGCCCGATTTTGACTGATAAGTTTTATTTTTTTAAGCGCATAGAAGTGTAAATATTCTTACTATGATCTATTAGTTCAGCTTAGGCTTAACTGGTTTCTTCTCTCGGTCTTAGGTCAGACCAGTTTGGCCCAGCTTATGCCTATCGCATGTACATATGTACATAGGTGGAGCTAGTTTAGCCTAGGCAAAACTAGAGTCTCCGGAAATCTGGTCTGGCGGCAACATATCGCCCATTTTCTTCAATATAGTCACGACACAAAAAATACAAATATTGAGCTGCACACGCAGAAATGACCGCTACTTCTTCTTCTATGTTGTGTCAAAATTTCAAAGCTGTATCGATTACCAGTATTTCGCTAGAACAAAATATGTATTAATCTTTACTATGGGAGCACATGAATGTAAATTCAAAACTTCAAAGCCGTTTTTCCCAAATGTTGATTTTTTCCAGTTGTGACACTATTGACGTAAATGAGCGATATGTATAGATAGATTTATTTCTTTATTTGTTTCAGTCAAATGAGCAATAAATTTTTACTGAAATATAGCATTTCAAATTGAGCTTTTTAAGGCAAATAGTAGTTGAAAAAATCAGCAAATTTTTTCATTACGAAAATGATCGAAAACCGTTGGAATGATATTTTCTTTGTTTTCCTTAGTCAAAAATTCAAGTTTTTCTCTTTCGTTTGGTATAGCGGAAGTATTAAGTATGTGATTCAAATATAAAATCCCTTCGTCATCATTCTGCAAACACATGCTTGCGCTGGAAGTGTGAGAAGGAGACAAAAAGTATGTGTGTGTATTTCGGATTTTGAGTAACAGATGGTGCAGCTCCGGCGAAATATGTATAACCTAATCGCAGCATACCGAAAGATTATTAGGAAATATTTTGCTTGAACAGTAAGAACGTTAAAGAGGGTTACCACCTGGTTTAAAAGTTAAACTCAATTTATTTAATAAGTTACAAAAATAATTCAAAGATGGGTAGCACTTAAAATTGGTTTAAAATATAATCCAATTAAATCAAAAGGAATATACAGTTTTTAACCTGAACGTGCTCTTAATATTATCACGTATTCTAGGTTTAAGTTTAGCGGCTGTGGCTTCGGCACAGTCGGCTTTAAAACTGCTTACACAAAATTTTTGTAGAAATGCGAATTAAAAAGCTTGAAATTGTAATGATTTTGAATTTTTTTTTTATGTTTTGTACAACTTTGATACAAAATTAGTAGACAATAATAATAATAATAATAATAATAGATTGGCGTTTACACATATGTTAGTGTTTGGCCGAGCTTCTCCTCCGATTTGTGGCGT